TTGTGTTTAGGTTATCTTCTTTTCTTGCTATGATATGAAATTCATTAAATCTTACAAATTTTCTGGGGAGAAAGTATTAAGGATACCACATAGCCAGAGACTTTTTTAACTTACTAAGAGCAAGGAGATGATTTCTAGAGACCAGAGACATAAGAGAGGCTGATGGCAGAATAAATTCAGATATATTAAGGCGAACAGCAATTCCATATGTATCTTCAGCCTTGTGTGTATTTGTGCTTTGTTTATTTATTTTACCTTGTGAGATTAATGTAATTTTCTCCTGGGAGATCTAACTTTGAGTACCAGAACAGGAAAACCTCAATATGTGTTTAATGCCATGTTTTTACGAAATAGCCAGATAGTTAAAAAACAAAATGAGATAAAATTGTGTAGGTGTGTCACTCGAGGAAGTATTGACACGGGAAGAACACAAGTCTGAAAGGCGGAGGTTGTTTTAAGTTATGAATTATAAGACTCTGACTCATCACCTGCTTCAATCAGACGAATGTCTGCAGATCAAGGAAGTCCACTTTTTATTGGACTAGCAAGTGGCCTCCCTGGGAGATCACACTGAAGACCTGGAGATGATTCTCTCTTCTCATCTTCCAGGACTTTGACACACCCTAAGAGTGAGTTGTCTTTGGTCCATACCTTTTAGTGTATGAACCCAAGGTATTTCATTTTCAGAGATTAATCTAGTTTTAGGCTTAAAACCTATTTCCCAAGACTTAATGGGATAATCATGTCATTCTCTTCTTGGGGTCTGGAGCCACGGATGAAATTAACAGGGCGCTTTTTAAAACTGTCTTGGAAAGTCAGTCATCACTTGGCAAATCAACAGGAGAATTCTGTCAAAGACTTCCAACTTCTAAGTCACTTGACTGATAGAAACATTGATGCTCCAATCACCTGTTCTTTTCATAATTGAATGCTTATATTCCACTGTGGATAGCTCAGTAGCTCAGTGACTTATTCCATGACCCTGTTGGATGATGGCATTATGATTTTGGAGTGGACCAGGCAGGGCTGATACACAGCATTACCACCAGGTACACAATGCCAATTGCTGTTGGCTAGGATCATGCTCAGTAGCTGAAGTTCCATTGTGCTTGGAATTGGCACCCATGCCATACTGGATATTGGTTGTTAAATATTTTGACTATCACCCACATTCCCCATATGAATTTACAACAGTGTCACAGAGTTATTCTTAACTACTTGTTACATTTCTTTTTGATCATGTCTACATATGCCACCAGAAAGTCTAATGAATTTTTTCCTAATGAGAATTTTTTTAATGTTTCATTTATAAAATGAAATGCCTCACCGTTTCTTTTCATATCCCCAAACACATTTTTAAATACCCATACAGATATCTCTGCTGTTTAAAAAAATATTCAACTTTTTATTAATTAAAATTAATTTTACAGTTTTATTTATCTCCTAGACAGTTTTATACTCCCTGAAATCTAGATGGCTCTTTTTTAGCATTGTGCCAGAAAGAAGAAAGTTTCTACTGAGTGTTAATTGGAGTCACAATTCCCCAAACCAAGATGTTGTCTAAAGCAGAACAAAGAGAGAAAAGAGAACAGAGAACAGGGACAAGCTTGGTTAGAACTATTGTTCAACCCAAAGGGGTTCTAGACATTTGGAGTCTTACAGGGGAGAGATATTTTCTTTTCTCTCTCTCTTCTCTGTCTCTCTCTCTCTCTCTCTCTCTCTCTCTCTCTCTCTCTCTCTGACAGGAGCACGACACAGGGGTATTGATAACAATAATGACAAGTTGCCATTTATTATTAACTTGTCTTGGGCACAATGTGATCTATGTGATGCTTTATGGAAGGTGCCATGTTTGAATCAATATGATGAATTTATCTTGATGTTCATTTTGGTTGATTATTGCTTTATTTGGTTTGACTGCACAGAGAATCCAGTCAGATATCTCACTGCTGGCTAAGCCGGTCCTTCTTAGATTTTATGACCTCTGAAGCCCTGCTGAGCCATCCCTTTCTTTTCATTGAATCCTACATTGTAGAAGACTGAGTGGGAGAGGCATTTATAGAGGCTGGGTGCTGACTTCCTACAAAACCTGTCACATGGTGGCTCTAGCCGTTCTGGAACAAGAACCATGCTGGTATACTATCCTGCAGTGACCTTGGGAGTGGCCATTCTGGTCTACAAGCCTGCATGCCTGAGTCATGAGGGTGTCAAGTGAGCAGGGAGAGGATTGCTTGGGCTGGATCCCCAGGGCACCTGGAACCTGAGCATAGATCTGGATCCACACGGGTGAGGAGATGAACAGAATTCCAGGGATACGAACAACCTGAGGATATCACAGGAGAACAGACTGGCCTGGGATGGTAGGAAATCTGTGTGTGACATGAGAGGAGATAAATTGTACTTGTAAGTGATTAACCAGAACGGGTCCCCAGAAACAGCTCCTAAGGGATCTGAGAAGCCAATTTGCTGATGCCCAGGAATGGAACACTCAATGGGCTTCAATTTGTTGCTACCTATTTGTACCTTGTGTGTATCATCAGTGACTTTTGTTATGAAATCCACTATAATAGGTGAAACTTCCTGGTCTCGTCAAGGGTTCTGCACTGCTAGATTCTCCCAGGGTCAGGAAGCTGTGGAAGATCCACTGATTCTTGGCCAGTGTTCTACCATGTGTATAAAAGAACTCAGCCTGTCCCTGGCAGAAACTTATGGGCTTGATCAGAACTATACCTTCCAATAATGTATGGCTCTTCCTAAGTGCTTGGTAAATGTTGTTTACTAAAAATGAAATTATGTGATAAGGAATTGATTTTTTTGTATTCAAGGCTGGGAGATCCTTTTCATTTTCAAGTTCCTCTTGTTGCCTTTGTTTTTTCTATTCTTTTCCCCAATCCGCCAACTGTTAGTCTTTGGTTGTTGTTCTTTTTAGCAATACATGATAGTAGAATGTATTTGGACATGTCATACAGACATGGAGTATAATTTCCCATTCTTGTGGTTGTACATGATGTGGAGTTACACCGGTCATATATTCATATATGAGCATAAGAAAGTGATGTCTCATTCATTCTCCTGTCTCTCCTATTCCCAACCCCCCTTCTTTCTCTTCATTCCCCTTTGTCTAATCCAGTGAACTTCTGTTCTTCCCTTCTTCCCTCTCCTCATTGTGTGTTAGCATCTATATATCAGAGAGAATATTTGGCCTTTGGTTTGGGGGGGATTGGCTTATTGTACTTAGTATGATTTTAGTTTCATTTACTTACCAGCAAGTGCCATAGTTTTGTTCTTTATGGTGAATATTCCATTGTGTATATGTACCCCATTTTCTTCATTCATTCATCTGTTCAAGGGCAGTTAGGTTGGTTCCAGAGCTTAGCTACTGTGAGTTGACCTGCCATAATCATTGATGGGGCTGCATCAGTACAGTATGCTCATTTTAAGTCTTTGGGGTATATACTGAGGGATAACTGGTGATTCAGTGGTTCAATCAAATGGTGATTCCATTCCAAATTTTCTGAGGAATCTACTTAATGCTTTTCCAATCATTTATCTTTTGACAGTACATCTGGGTTCTTGTTTGTTCAAGGGCTCCCTTCTCTCTTCATGCCACTATCTCAACCCCTCTATAACCATTTATACTCTTCCTGTCTATAACACCTCTTGGAAGTTAGGATAGGGAATGTGGGCTTCCATGATGGCACAAATAGGACTTGAAGCAAGGGCCAAGGCTGTCTGTCCTGTCCCTTGTAGCCAATTAGAGAATTTCAGTATCAAAAATCATGTCCTGAATCGTTTGTATTTTTTAATGCGGGCCCTTGCTAAACACAGTAGCGTAATTGAAATTACAAATTCATTTCCCTTTTCCCCATTGACTTCATTCTTCCGCTATTGCTTTCCTACAGGAGAGTCAGTGGGAGACTGTGGCAGCTTCTGAACTGGGAGGGAATAACACATCCGAAGACTAGGCTATGACAGCAGAAAGCCCTAGTCACTATGGCTGTGCCTGCAGGTTCCTTACACCGCATGGCACCTCAGAAGGTGTACCGTCAGGATTCTTTACCCCTCAGCTTCCCAATTATGAGTTTGACTATAATTTTACTGTTATCTCCAGGATCATTATCCCCTCCCCCAACTTCTCAGTCTGGTTTCTTGTAAGTTCAAATAAGATTTGGCGGATGAATGGAACTCCCAAGCTTCCCCAGGGATCTCCTTTGCCTCTCTAGTCATGTCTCGTTGATTGTATTAGCTTGGAAAGCTGGAAGAGGTGATTACTGTTTCCCAGGTCTAATAGTAGGAATACATGTCCAGGACACGTTTTACAAAACAATTTCAGAACTATTGATACATTAGACCCACATTTATTAAGAGTCTATAAGAAACTATGATTTWAATATTTAAATCACTGCAATATTTTCTCTCCAAGCCCCACAGCATTGAGCTCTATGTCATTCTTTCACAGTGGTCACTATAACAATACTCAAAATTAGATGACTCTAGGGTTGCAGGTGTAGCTCAGTGGTAGCATGCTTGCCTAGCATGTGTGAGGTCCTGGGTTCAATCCCCAGCACTGGGAGGAAAAATCCTAGCTTAAAACACCACACACACACCTTTATTATATTATAGAGGTCAGAATTCCAAAATGAGTTTCACAGGCCAGTATCAACCTATGGGCAGGACCACCCTTTCTTTGGAAAATATAAGAGACAATCCATTTCTTGACCTTTTGCAGCTTCTGGAAGCTATGCACGTTCTTTTGCTCATGCCTCCTTCTGTCTTCAAGTCAGCAGTGTAGCACCTTCTAGTCTTTCTATCTCTGACTCTGCTTCCATCATCACAGCTCACCCCTGACCTGCAGTCTCCTGCTTCCCTCTTGCACATATAGACCTTTGCAATTGCAGCAAGAACACCTGGATAATCTCCCATCTCAGCATCACACTCAGACCTCTCTAAAAACACAAATCTCAAAGTAGACTTTCTAATTCCTTTATTTATTTTTTCAGATGCAGAGAGAAATTGTTTATGCAAGAGGAGATGGCCCTGGTGCCTCTCGACCTGGATCCACAGCTCATCCACCCCATGCAATTCCCAATTCTCCACCATCCACTCCTGTGCCTCATTCCATGCCTCCCTCCCCATCCAGAATTCCTTATGGGGGCACTCGCCCCATGGTTGTTCCTGGCAATGCCACCATCCCCCGGGACAGACTCTCCAGCCTGCCGGTCTCCAGATCCATCTCACCAAGCCCAAGCGCCATCTTAGAAAGAAGAGATGTCAAGCCCGATGAAGACATGAGCAGCAAAAACATCGCGATGTACAGAAATGAGGGTTTCTATGCTGATCCTTACCTCTATCATGAGGGAAGGATGAGCATAGCCTCATCCCATGGAGGGCACCCCCTGGATGTCCCTGATCACATCATTGCATATCACCGCACAGCGATTCGGTCAGCGAGTGCTTATTGTAACCCTTCCATGCAAGCAGAAATGCACATGGAGCAATCACTGTACAGACAGAAACCAAGGAAGTATCCAGATAGCCATTTGCCTACTCTGGGCTCCAAAACACCCCCTGCCTCTCCTCACCGAGTCAGTGACCTGAGGATGATAGACATGCATGCTCATCATAATGCTCACGGCCCCCCTCACACCATGCAGCCAGACCGGGCCTCGCCAAGTCRTCAGTCCTTTAAAAAGGAACCAGGCACCTTGGTATATTTTGAAAAGCCCAGGAACACTCCAGGATTATCCGGCATTGTGGACCTTGGCCCTCCTCTAGTTGAGAAGCAAGTTTTTGCCTACAGCACTGCTACAATCCCCAAAGACAGAGAGACCAGGTAAGGCATGGGAAGGGTAGCCACGGGTGGTCTGTGCTCATGTGTTGCTGAGGGCGGGCTGCTCTCCAGAAATGAAATCAGAGAACAAATGCCAAAGAATAAGTGCCAAGCTCCAGCCTTGTGCTTTATGGGTGCCGCTGAGGGCACAGAGGAGCATCCAAGGTTGGCCTTCTCTGCAAAGAGCTTCTGAATCAATGGGGTCCTGTGAGGTACACAGTAGCCATGGTAAAGAGGATAGGTGTGCCCACAAGGACCATCAGTCAGCAGGTCTCTGGACCATGGTCTTGCCAGCATTATCACTAGTATAAATCTGAATCATATAGAAGAAAATTGTGGTTAGCAGAAACTATTCAGAGAAGTAGATCAAGAGATCATAGTAATTGATCTGCTGCAGAAAATAAGAAGTGAGTGGTTTGTTTGCAGTGGCAATTTCTGTTTTTCTTTTAGAATGCAATTTTGTTTTCTCATCTGGTTTTGGGAAATGGAAAGAATGTGTCATTGCCTGTCTTGTAGGATGATAAAATGTGAATTTGCATGAACATAGAATGGTTTAGATTTAATATCCACTCAGGAATGGTGCTAAAATCAGCAAAACTTTTCTCGTGAATGAGGCACTCTGGGTATTTAAATTTCTTTTTTATATGCATATATTGGTATGATTCACCAGTGCAGAACCTTCCTCTCATGTTTTGAAACCCCTCCAAAATTTATAAAGTAATAATAGAAAAGCAAATTTTGATAGAGGGAATTTCTCTAACCTGAATGGGTTGAAGGAAGTCAACATAATAATTACACTCATAAAAATCTAGTCAAGGAAATTGAGGCCAAAAGAGGTGAAGCATTTTATCTGTCATCATATGTGAATTCACAAGGTGTGTAAAAAATAAGAATCAGATATTCAGTCATTCAGAACCTTCTTAGAACCACTGTTCCTCACTAAAAAATGGTATCATCACTTACTATTATATAACCTTATAAAAAGAAGGCCAAACTTGTGAATGGAATGTGAACTGTCTACATCAATGTTTTCACACAGAAATCAGACAGTCCTGTCCCCTTTAGCAAAATTTATCAGGAAAAGCTTGCCCTCCTTATTTGTTCAGTCATAAGGAATCTCACAAGAGACAGATTTCAGGAGAATGGAACAAGAATGAACATGAACATTTTGGGGTCATTAAGACAACAACAGATTCTAACTCACACAGCTAAAAAAAAACCTCAGTGGTGACTGGCTGGATTAGGTAGAACTAAGAAAAATTAAGGATTTGAAAATAATATTCATTCTCTCCTTTTCATAGCTCTTAGGAAGTGAAAATTCTGAGAATCAAAGATAGGGACTCTTCTCATAATCACAGACGGTGAAGGGGGTGGAATGAATGTCCACAGTGGCTGGCTAGAACAGACCAGTGTCACAGCTGGAGAGGAATCTACCAGGACCTGTCATGGGGCTTGGAGCTTGTGCTGTGTGCTTTGTAGAAAGGGTAACAGATGTGTCCCCTGCAGTGGATTATGAGGTGTGGATTGAGAAATGGTGTATCACTGAAAAGAGGGGATTTAAAGCCACAAGAATTTAGTCTAGAAAATAATAAAATGAATCCATTTTCTGGATATAATGTTGAGTCAGGATCCGTCCTCCCTCTCATCCCACCATGCTGACACCTCCCCACACTGCCCACCTTGGGGGTATCAGATGATCAAAAGCCCTATCCCACCGGGATCATGTTAACTGTGTCCACCCCCTGGGTTCTAGGTACATTTTTGGCCAACAAGTGGTATTTGCCTCCTTCCCAGTGCCTAGTGGGGTGTCATCCATGCAGTTACCACATGTAAACAACTTCAAGGCTTTGCTGAGCTGTGTTTGTCAGGGATTTGGTTATTGGAGGGAATCAAACAAGAATCTTCTGCAGACCTGAGGAGTCTTCCTATGCAGCTCCCTGACCAAAGCATGGAAGGACATGAGCTTTCAGTGCCATCTGCATTCTTTTAGAACCTCCACTCTCTTTTTAAAAAGGATTTGCCTGCCTCAGAGACATTTTTGCTAAATCTTAGAAGATTCTATGTAGTTCTATTTTATGTGTTAGAAAACCTGTTTAGAAAATCTAAATTAGTATACATCTAAAACAAAAAAAATATTAGAAACATTGACCAAAAAAGATTAATGTTCACCTAAAATGCACTGTCATAATTATCATCATGTTCTTACATATGATTGTAGTTATGCATTAATTGAACATTTTCATATTTTCCCTTCCCCAAAATATGAAATGGCACAGAACAATTTTATCTCATACATCTGGCTAGGTGACTCCTCACCTGTTAGTGAACTTAGCTCCAAAGGGTAGAATTGGGGTGTTTGTGCAAGACTGTTCTCTAAGAGCCCTATACAGACACACACATATACATAAACACACCCATATACAAGCCCATGGACATAATATGTAGACACACCTATATACACAAACACATATGTATACACAGAGGAACATACAGATACCCACAGACACACATACACACACATATAGACACATACACATATAACTCATGCACCACAGACATATACATGTATAGATATACACTCACAGATACATATATACACCACATAGACCTGCAGACCCACAAAGATACACAGACCTACACACAGATACATACACCACACAGATGCAAATAGACACACGAACACACACACAGATATACAGCATGTAGACACAGGTACAGACATACATGCAGACACTCATACAGCTTAACAGATTAACAGCTGCTGTTAGTAAAAGACTAACCTCTGCCCCAACTCAGCAGGCAGGTGCCAAGAGTAAATAGTGACTTTTGGTTCAAAAGAACTCAACTCTAGAACTTTTGTTCTCAGTCTCCCCACCCCACCCCCCACTACTTCCAGAACAGATAAGAAGGTGGGACAAAGGGAAAAGTATGGGATTTGTGCCACATTTCCTTCTCTGTAGCTACCCCTCTGAATCTGACAGTGAACTCTTCAACAGCTCGTTGACTAGGCTGAAATGCAGGGTTAGGCTGAAATGCAGGGTTGCCGGGTGTTTTATAGCTATTGATGGCAGCTGTCATTTATTTTACCTTTTTTATGAGCCAAGCCTATGTAAGTAGTTTGCACACATCAGGAGATGTACTTGTCATGAGAACCCACTAGCAGCACCCCTCCTTTACAGATGAGGAAGCTGAGGCTCAGATAGCTTAAGTAGCTTGTCCAAGGTCACAAAGCCAGTAAGTGGCATAAAATGTCCAAGAATCTGTACTTTTTACCACCGTATAGTATTCTTTCTTGGGACTGAAAACCATGAGCCCCCACCTTCACCCAGCAAGAAATGAATTCAGGAGTGAATTCTGAGCATTTCAACCAGAATCCTTGAAAAATTGTTTCAGGACTAGATGCTAAATAACTGCTCCCAAAGGATATTCACAATCATAAACATGGTAGAATTTGCATAATTATACTTCTAAATATATACATGCCATTTAAAACATAACTGCCCTAGMTAATATATTAGCACAATTATGCAGAAGTGGGGAAAGAAGGAAGAGAACATTCTTGATAGATTTTGTTTAAAAAAAAAATGCATCTGAGTACTACATCAAAAAAAAATTAAAATAAGAACACCAGAAACAATTACTGCAGCACAAAATTATAGTACATTGTCTTGCTTATCCCCATGACGTTATTTTAGAAATATTTAATCTGGGTAAGTATTTTTAAAGAGTGTTCAACCCCTTAAACTCCATGAGTACAGGGTATAAAGTGCCAAACCAATTTCTGTTGCAATTTCATAATATTAAAAAGCAAATAAATCTTAGAGTGCTTTTTATATGAAACTCTCAAGTGAAATTTTACATCTAAGATGTGAAGCTACAAAAAAACACAGGAGGGAGACTGAGAAATCTGTAGCTCTGCTTTCTTTTGGGCGCTGCTGGATTCAAATACTGTTCCAAAGAGCACTTCCATGTAATAACCCAAATAACTGCAGGACGTTAGAAATCAGAGAGAAAAATTCTTTCTTTCACATCCATACCCAAGAGCCATTCAACAGTAGCTTGTCTGAAGAAACTCGGTTTTAAAACAGGTCTGTTGACATGGAAATGAAGAGCTAAAGACTAAATGGCATAATCTCGACTCTTATATTTAGTCCTGTGCCTTGTTCTAATGAATTTGGCATCTTTTCTTTTTAAAAGTGCTTCAAGAAGCATCTGCTAATGACCCATTCTATCTAGAAGATCTGGAAAAAGCAGTGTATAGGGTATAACATGTGATGTTGGGGTTCTCCTTCCAAGGAGCCCAGGGACTTTGGGGTAAAGTAATAGATCACAGTCACTTTTGACTTTCAGGACAGCAGTTCTCATGTCTGAGCTTATAGAAATAAGACAACCTTGAGTGTTGAAGTAGCTGTACCCAAGTGACACCCTTCACCTGGTTCTTCAAGAGGAAAGTGGGTCTGAAAAACCATGAGAGATGCTGAGAGAGAGACATCATGTGACAGCGCGTGAGGCTGTCTTCCCCCGGTTATGAAATCACTTCATGAAACAGCATCATGCTTTCTACCCGGGGCATATAAAACAGCTCTTAAGAATTGCAAAATTTAAGGACATTTGTGTCTTGCTATTTTCTGTTTGTAGTTGGGATCATATAGTGTAAAATATTTTTATTGAAATAACTCTTAAAAGTCAAGAGTGCTCATTGCAAAGTGACTAATAACTCCCTTTCCAAGTGGGTAGCAGATTCCTCCCAATGAAATATGATTTGTCAGACTCAGTAAACTTGAGCCAAGATCAGACTTTTATACTGTTCTTTACCTAGAGCAGCTACATTCAACAAACTAGGAAAGAGGCTCACTGAAGAGCAAAGCCTTGCCCTGCCTAGGCACCTGTGTCTAAAGAAAGAAAAGCCACATGAGACTCGTTAGGATTTTTGCAACAGTGTAGACTTAGCGAGCAGAAACTCTTATTTTGGGTGGTTTGGAAGACTAAGGAAAGCTGTGTGT